AGCGCTCCTGGAGATACCAAACTGGTCTTGAGAAGATAAGTTATGATAGAGACATTGAGCAATTTCTTTGATGCCTTACCTTTTGGAATTAAGTGTCTACTAGTATTGTGGCATTCAGTCTATCTTTGTTTGTATATTATTTATGAAAGATCGCGAAGTGGGGCAAAGGAATTTGTTAAAATATGTTAGTTCTAACATAACATATAGGAGACAAGTGGACCCAGAGTACATTTATAACCAAGACATAAGAGTAAAGTGTAATACACCAGGTTGTAAGTGTTATCCATTTGTTTTAAATGTAAAAAGTGCCAAGAGAAATGGTGGAAGCATTGTAGATACGGATATCCTCCTAGAGGAATCTGTGATCAGTGCTACCGATCAGAACGAAACTTTACTATTTGGGCATTAAAACAACTAGAAGAAAGAGGAGTTCCATGGGGATCCCCCAGGTGGTGGAATTATTTCGTATTTGGATTTAACCCTCAATATTTCTGTTTTCACCCAAACGAACCAGCCCCCTTTGTAGTAGATACAGTGAAAGTCCAGTGCCGACGGGACATCAGTGCCTTGCCTTGTGATGGGTACATGGTAAAAGCCACCTCGTGGTCTGCATATACAGTACGTCTCACTAAAAATAAAGGGCATGTTCCTGCTTGGGACTCCTGCTGCCAAGAAGATGGAACACCCTGTGACTCGAAGCAATCGAGCTGACAGGGGAGGCAGAGGAGAAAATCCCGAAAAGAGGAAGAGCCTAAACCGTGGAATGCACAAGCTGCAATGGCCAAACTCCCCCAGGACTGGTGAAGGTAAGAGGGCTGGTAATATCCAAATTAGTAAACAAATTAATACAAAAATCAACAAAGATCAAAGTTTTTCTCTAGGCACTGGTTACATAATTGCAGTCTCCATTGTACTCTTGGCAGCACCGATACATGCAGGAAACCCACATGAACTATTCAAATGGAGTTTGATCAGATGGGAAAACCAAAAAGTACTTACTACCTTTACAGGGTCAGGCAGCCCCACCTTTTATACACAACTGTGTGATCTAATCGATATGAAACCCTGTAGAAATCTTTACCCGTATTATATGTGTCCTGCCTCAAACCCAGGAAAATCTCACTGTAGTTACCCTGGACACTTCTATTGTGGCTATTGGGGATGCGAAACCTTAGCATCAGACTGGGAGGTAACCCATCCTGATCAGTACCTACAGTCACACTGGGGGAAAGAAAATTCCAGATGTATACCCCCTAAGCGGGATATCTCCTGGGGAATCTTAGATGCTGGAAATTGTACTGGTGTAACATTAAAAGTTCTCCAGATGATGGATGAGAGTTGGCTGGTAGGCCGAATGTGGGGAATAAGAATACGAGAACAAGGACCTGACCGAGGGGGACATTTCTTAATAAAGAAAGAAAGAATCCCTCACGACCCTCTCCCAGTAGGGCCGAATCCAGTGTTGAATCCTCCCGTACCACAAAAAGAAACTATTCCGTCCCTTATTCCGTCCCTTTCCCCGGACAACACAACCCCTGTTTTGGAAAATATTAATGTTACTGAACCCCCTATACCTAAACTATCAAAACATAAAGATCCCTCATGAGATTTGATGCAAACCTCTTATCAGGCTCTTAATAAAAGTAAACCAAACCTTACATTAGATTGTTGGCTATGTTATAATGTCAAACCGCCTTACTTTGAAGCAATAGGAAAACCCAATAAAGTCCAATGGTCAAATGGATCAAATCCTCTAGAATGCAGATGGGAAGAACAAAGAAATCATACCCAGGGGATAACAATACAAATGGTGACAGGCAAGGGTAGATGTATCGGAACTGTTCCTTTTAGGTACCAACCTTTATGTAATGAAACTATCTCTAATTGGGCCATAGGACAGCATAAAAATAGAAGTGACAAAATGGGTAATACCACCAGGAGGAGCTAAATGGGTATGCTCGGACATAGGAGTAACTCCATGCTTATCCCTCACTGTCTTTAATACAAGTGTATTTTGTATTCAAGTACACTTGTATTCAATCACACCTAGGATTATGTATCACACCTTGGAAGATGTATTTCGACATTTTGAAGGAGAACTTCCCAGACAAATTAGAGAACCTTTTACTGCGGTAACTGTAGCAACCTTGTTAATTGCAGGAGGTGTGGGAGCAGGAACCAGAATAGCTTCTTTAGTAAAGGGAAAAGAAATACAAAATTTACAAGTAGCTGTTGATGAGGATTCAGACGGCTCTTAAAGCACAAAGATGCGGCTGCAGAATGGGCTGGAGTACAAGAAATCATCGACTGTCACTCTCCCACGTGGGTTAGTTCCAGGTGAATGCCCTGAGTGCAGTAGTGTGGGCAACTAAAAGCATTTACACTCTACGGCGTGTAGATCGAGAATTTAAATCTTTATTCTGCTTAGTTGTGTGGAATATAACAAGTTATTCCAGCAGTGTTCTTGCCCCAGCCTCAGATCAAGTCCAGCCTTGTCATTAAACTCTTTGCTGCTGTACCAGTTTTTTAGCTTGCAGGTTAATAAAGTTTTCAACGACTTGCTTGGCTTTTGTCTCCGTTATTCAAAAATCCCATGGGTGACATGTAAAACCACTGACTGACTTTAAACTTTATTTTTGGGCACCCAGCGGGACCAGGGTGTATTGAAATAAACTGCAGCTCAGCCCAGCTCCCTTTCATTGGAGTCTTGGAGTCACTTAGGGTAGAAAAGACCTTTAAGATCAAGTCCACCTGATCCCCCAGCACTGCCTGGGCCACCACTGAGCCATGTCCCCAAGTGCCACATCCACACAGCTTTTAAACCCCTCGAGGGATGGGGACTCCACCACTGCCCTGGGCAGCTGGGCCAGGGCTGGACAGCCCTTTTTTGGGGGGAAATTTCCCCTAATATCCAACCCAAATGGGTCACATCCCCTGGTGGTTCAGCCATGTGGATCCAGATGGGTTCAAGGCAGGTGGACTATTTGAACGCTCTGTGCTGCTGTGTTTAGACAATCAAAACACTGCTGTAGCCACGGAGATTATAAAAAATTTTATTAACAGGAATGAACCAAAAGCTGTAAACAAGAGCCAGCAGAAACGAGAGCCGCGGGTGACGCTGGATGCACCGAGCAATTAACGCTGCATCAAACAATTAATGCTGCACTGAGCAATTCCTGCAGCATCGCGTGGTGGCAGCAAAGGCCCGTGGAAAAATCCAAAATGGCCACGTGAGGAGGAGCTCTGGGGTCAGGCCACTGTGCAGGCACTGGGAGACCAGTCCTACATTGGGAACTGGTGACTGGGAGAGATGGGGCTGTCTGCTCAAAGCTTGGGTCTAATACCACAAATGTGGCTGTGAGGGCTCTGCTCTGGCAGAGTTTGCTCCCCACAGGTGGGTTGGAAATGCTCCAAAGGGAAACATTTAGATCTTCTGAAATCCCACTCTTTTCCTCAGGCAGCAAGTGAATGCTGCAGAGCCCAGGGTGGGATTCTAAGAAGCGTTGGGGACACCTCAGTACAGCAGCAGCGGGAGCAAAGTAAAGCTCACCCAGGCACCTGGAACAGCGAGTTCTACACATTCCTGCCCAATTCCTTGCCTGAGCCTCTCTCAGAGCCTGCCCTGGGCTCTGCTACCTGCTAACAAATCTTGAGAGCACCTGCAGGAGGTATTGACACTTTTCAGGTGAAGAGAGTTGCTCCAGTTATTTTAGGGAAAGGCTCGCTGAGGAACAGACCGATGCTGCTGCTCCAGTGGGAGTGTTGCCCACTGTGCCAGTGCTGGCCATCCCTTGGATCTGTGGGATGCTGAGGGGGGACATGGGGGGCCCTGACAGCCATCCCTCACCTGCCTGCTCCTGAGGGACTGGCAGCAGGGTTTGCCAGGAATGCAAACATTCCTGCAGGAATGGGTTTTCCGCAGATTACTTTAAAATTTAAATCAGACAATTTTGAGACTTGTCTCTCCCTAAAAAAAATCCAGGAAAAAAAATGCTCTGTTCTCAGTAGGTTCATTTCAGGATCCTTTTTCATCCTGTGGAGCTGTAGCTGCTTGTGTTGTTGCAGCTCACAGAGGAGCTTGGAGAATCCTTGTGCCCATCAGGAAGGGGGTGCTGGAGCCAAAATTCCGAGCAAAACAAGGGGCAGGGCTGTCTGAGCCAGCTGCTGGGGGGGCTGGCAGTGGTTGGAGGGCAATGGATGGGTTACTTCCTTTCATGTGAAGTGGCCCAGGAGGCTCAGCACAGCAGGCACCTGCTGATGTGCGCGGGGAGTTTCCAAAGGAAAAAACTGCCAAAGGCCAAACACTTCATCCAGATTCAGATTTGTACTTAGAAGTGCAGCTTGACAAAAAAACAGCCAAAAGCCTGACACAGACCAAAGGGGTGAGGAGGCCCTTGAAGAGAGCTGGCAGGAGTCTGCAGCCTGTAAAATCACTGCCTGCAGCTTCCCCCCAGCTCTCTGCGGCGAAAAGAAAGAGCTGCCCCAGAGAACTTTGAAGATATCAAAGCGTTGTTGCATCTGAAAACGCCATCACACTTACAGGAAGGTATTTAGAATAAGCTGCAATACATTAGATTTCTTCTCAATTAAAGTACTAGAAACGGCGGAAGGAGGAGAACCAAAGCCTTTCCTGAAGGGATAAACATTCAGGAATCTCTGTACACAGCCAGGTACGCAGGAGCTCATCCAGACAGACAGCCAAGCTCTGTGTTTGCAGGGAACAGGAGAATCCCTCACCCTGGAGGGGTGTCCCACCTCACAGGGATGCACAGACAGGAGAAAGCAACTACAAAAATGTTTGCCTTCAAACACATCCTTCCCACATGCCCCAGGCCAGGGGCTGAATTCCAGGGATGCAGGGAAAGAAAGGGGAATTCAGGTGGGGAGAAGGTGTTGGTTCCCCTGCGTCGTAGCACGACTCTCACTAAGGTTAACAGCAGCCTCACAGAGCGGGCACAGCTGGCCCTGGGAGGAGAGCCCAGCCCAGCCCCTTCCCAGACAGGGAACACCAGGGGACGAGCGCTCTCAGCGCCCATGGCTGCGCTGGGGCTCGGGCAGCAGCGCCCAGCACGCGGCTGCAGCATCCCAGAGAGCTCCTCCTGCTGCTGCTTCCATGGCCCACGGCGCAGCTCACCTTGGGGGCAGACACAGACACGACAGACAGACATGCACACACTGCCCACGGGAGCACGGAGGGCACGGCCAGAGTCTCTGTACAAACAGCGTTAGGACCTGCAGCAGCCCGAGCCTCGCACTTCCTTCTTCACGTAGTCGTGGAGCTTGAATTTGGGCTCGTTGGGCAACTTCATGGACCTGTGCTTCAGCTCCCTGTGGGAAGGGGGAACACGGTACTCCTATGCTGCCTGCTTCTGGGAGAAGGGATTTTGTCTGGAAGAAGCTGGGGAGGGACTTTGGACAAGGGCCTGGAGGGACAGGACAAGGGGGAATGGCTTCCCACTGCCAGAGGGCAGGGTTAGATGGGATATTGGGAAGGAATTCTTCCCTGTGAGGGGGGGAGGTCCTGGCACAGGTTGCCCAGAGAAGCTGTGGCTGCCCCATCCCTGGAAGTGTCCAAGGCCAGGTTGGGCAGGGCTTGGAGCAACCTGGGCTGGTGGAAGGTGTCCCTGCCCATGGTAGAGGGTGGGACTGGATGAACTTTAAGGTCCCTTCCAACCCAAACCATTCCAGGATTCTGATTCCAAGCTGGCCCAGCTCAGTTGAACTCACCTTGGCCAGGACACTTCACTAAAGCTCCCCCTGACGAGACATTTCATATCTCATGTGAGAGGGCAAGTTCTTGCCAGCACAAGAGCTGAAGGTGGGACCCAGGGCATGAAGAGGTGGGTGACAGTGCCAGCCATTATCCCAACGGCTGCTGTGTCCCTGCAGGAGAGGTGTCCAGCACAGCTGCTGCTCCAGGCACTTACTTTGCAATGGCTGTGAATGCTAATTCCACGTTGAGGCCACTTTTTGCGCTGGTCTCCATGAAGGGCACCCCGTACTCCTGTGGGACGAGACACAGCAGCATCAGGAATGTCACCTGGGATGTTCCCAGGGGCTCCCAGGCTCTGGCCAGTGTCAGTACCTGCCTAGGGAGCTCATACCCTGAGCCAGGGTATGAGCTCAAAACTGAGCCAGGGATCACAGCTCAGGTAACTTTGAGAATAATTTTTGAGGACAAAGAAACAAGAAATGTTAGTGGAAGCTTAGAGAAAGAAGATGAGGAGGAAGGGGAGAGCACAACGAAGGAAGAAAAGCAAAGTGGTCCCAGGCGTATTTTGGGTCAGACTGGTCTCCAGGTGACCATTTCCTGGTGCACATCCTCAGGCACCTCACCTACCTTGGCAAGTTTCTCTCCATCTTCCCTTTTCACCACTCTGTCCTGGGCTGAATCCACCTGCAATGGGAACAGCAAATAGCAATTTGGGGTGATTTGGAAGGTCACCAGTAGGTAACCTCCACATCCCCTTATGCCCTGCCAGGCTCCCCTGCCCGTGGCTCCACCGTGGGAGGAAGAGGAGGCTCTGGGAAGGTGGGGCCGGGCTCACCTTATTTCCCAGTAACATGAGGACCACGTCCTGCTGTGCGTATTCATGGATCTCTGTCAGCCAGGCCTGGAGGGAGACAGCCAGAGAGAGGGGTTGGCAACAGCCCCAGGGGGAGGAGGAAGAGAAGGGAGAGCTGCCCCAGTCCTGGGCACGGACACTCTCTGTGGGAGACGCTGCCATCCTGAGCAATGCCGGGGATGTTCCGTGGATGAGCCCTGTAGACAAGTGGTGCCCCAGGGTGCCACTGAGGGGCCACTGTGCCGAGCAAGCCCAGCACCTGCTCTGGCTGCTACCAGACCCCCAAGGGTAACAGCAGCCTTTCGACCCCACTGCCTGCTCTGTCTGCCCACAGGTGCCTCTAGGAATTTAACCCCAATTTCCCCTTGGTTGGGACATTCAGACTAAGCCTCCTTTTCGAGGGCAAGGCAAAGAGTTGGCTTTGGGATGTGCCCCGTGCCCGTGTCCTGCATGTGCTGCCCCCATGCACAGCACACTCATCCCAGCAGGCCCCTGAACCTGCCTCCCTGAGCCATGGGGTGGCTTCTCTGCCTTCTAATCCAGCCTAATGTAATCAAACCTGCCCTAATTCCCTGTAATCCCTGACCCTGTGGCGTGAACAGCCGCTCGCTGCCTCCTGTGCTGACACTGCGCTCATGGCAAGTGCCAGCGATCCCCAGCGATCCCTGCTCCACCATCTCTGAGTCCAGCAGCATCCTGCATCAGCACCCAGCCAGGGAAGCGAGGGATGATTCGGGATCAGGATGTGTCACTGACAGTAGGTGGGAGCCCAACACAGCAGCCCCGGGACCCCACCACACCCCGGGGGCTCCGGGCGCTCAGTTCCATGGGGGGCAGGTCCAAGGGATGCAGTCACTCCTGACTACACCCCTCAGCTCCCTTCTGACTCCACTCCTGCTCCACCCCTCCTTGCCAGTGCTGGCACAGGTGGCCCCCAGCAGCCACAGGGGACTGGTGGGGTGAAGGGGAGAGACACCAAGAGCCTGGGTGCTCCTGACCCCCCCACAGTGATGTGCCCAGGGGCAGCATTTGCTCTTCCCCTCTGCCAGGTTTAAGAGCCCTCTGCTCCATCACCACTCCCCAGCACCCCTGGAGGACCTGCAGGGGGTCTCAGGGTCAGCTGGGGGGCCGGGGTTTTGGACAGGGGGCAAATTCGGGCAGCACAAGGGACCCCCACAAATGCCATCAGTCAGGAGGGGCAGGTGGGCTGGGGATGGGCAGCAGGATGTGACCCTCTCTCTGCCAGGTCTGGCACTAAGGTGGGGGGCAATGAGGTCCCCAATCCCAACCGGTTGGGACCTGAAGGAGGAGAGGGGAATGAGGGAGCAGCTTGCTGGGGAAAGCTGCCCATGCTCAGCTACTGCAGCAGGTTCTGTGCCAGTGCTGTAATTACACAGGTTAATTGACCAGAGCAGTGAATCCATCACCCCTTTTATTTGCTGTGAGAGGAAAAACCTTCTCCACCTGTGCCCTACCTATCCTTGCAAGTGCTCAGAATTCATAGAAGCCCTTCTGTAAGTGCCCACTGCTCCTGCCTCCATCACACCCCTCCTCCAGGTACTCCCTTCCCTGGGCAGACCCGCAGCCAGCCCGGCAGGAGGGGCCAGGGGTGCTGCCGTACCTGGATGTTGTCAAAGGACGCTTTGTTGGTGACATCGTAGAGCAGGAGCAGAGCTGTGGAGAGAGGGACAGGGCATTAGTGCTGGCTCTGCACCGGTCCCGTGGCAGGTCACCCCTGGGGACAGCAGGTCCCTGCTGGGAAATGTAAAACAACACTGAAATCCACCGCAGCAACACCTCACGCTGCTGGTGTTTGCACCTCCACCCTCCTCCGTCCTGGGCGGCTGCTTCCCATGGGAAACTGCTCCGGTGATTCCCGACTCACCTGGCCTGGAGTGGCAGCTCCAGGGGCTCCCCCAAGAGCAGAGGTGGCCGTGCTTACCGTGGGCATCCCGGTAGTAGGCGTGGGTGACGCTGCGGAAGCGCTCCTGCCCAGCCGTGTCCCAGATCTGGAAAGCAGACGGGAGCAGAGGGATCAGACGTGACCAAGACCCACCAAAACCAGCCCAAACAGCACAGTGCAACCCCAGGAAGCCTCTCCAGCTTTTGCTTCCAGGGACATCAACAGGAAAAACAACAAGAGCAATAAATATGGAAGCAGCACCTCCCCACTCCTCAGCGCAGGGACACGACAATGAGTGGCCGAGGGCTCCTGACACGGCCCTTAATCGGAAAATCCATGGATCAGATGGATGCATGGGGTCTTGCTAATGTGATTTATCAGTCTTTAATGCAGCAGGAGGTTTGCAGAGTGCCACACTGCTGCTGGGGAGGATCCATGCTAATGGTGTTACTGAGCTCTGGGCAAACGGTCAGGTCTCGGGGGGCTGGAGCAGTTCTGGACACAAAATCTACATTTCCCAAGGGCTGGATGCTGGCTGAGCCAGGGAATGTGGATCCTTTCAAAGATCAACCATCCTTTGGCTCTGCCAAAGCAGGAGCTGCCTGGAAAAGCTGAGCAAACCCCACAGGTGCTGTTCTGGTTTCACTGTCTCCAGCTGCAGTCACGGAGCAGCAGGGAGGCAGCAGGGTGGGGACATGGATCACCGTGGCCAGAGCAGCCCCCAGCCCCGAGCAGGCTCCCACCAAAGGGACAGAGCAGCCAAAAGGCCTGCAGGGCTCTCCTGTGGCAGGAGACACAACGGCAAAGGCTGGAGAAGGGGAACCCGTGTCGGGGGTGCTCCTCTGCTGAGGGGCTTTGCCCAGCGGGGCGAGGGAGCTGCTCCCAGGGCCACAGGACGTACCTGCAGCTTCACCTTCACCCCATCCACCGTCAGCACCTTGTTCTGAAAGAAAACAGAAAGGGTAGTGAGGGGTGAGCATGGCTGTGGAACACCCAGGACCCCGGGGAGAAACAAACACCCGGCCCCCCATCCCGGACAGAGTTTCTGCAAACCCTTGGGCTGATCCCTCTCCTGCTTTTTAAACTGGCACACATTGGTCCCAGTGCCTGCAGAGCTGTTTGCACCATGGCCCAGCCAGAGGATCTCTCCCTGTTTCACCACAAGCTGCATCTATTTGGGTACCTAAACCCTGATGGTACCACGAGTGGCTTGGGCTGGAGACCTCTGGCCATAAATTAATGAGCACCAGCATCCCACCTTACCAGCCTTCAAAAGACAGAGTCAACCACTCCATACAAAAATAACTCCTCCTCCTGCCTCTCGTACCTGTTTTTCTCCTGATTTCTCTCTCATTTTTTCCCCTTGTTTTCCCAGTTTTAGGAAAGGTGGAAAGGAGGAGGGGAAGGGGCACACTGGGTTTTCCCCAAAACAGTGGGATACTTTCTGCAGAGGGATGCCCTGGAAGAGCTGGGAGCAGTGTGGGGAGCCCATTGGTGCCCCTCCAGGCAGCTGTGCTGGACAGTGAGGGCAGGGGACAGATCCTGACTGTGTCCCAGAGCAACCAGCAATCCAGCAAGCCTCACCAGGCTCTCCAAAAACGAACCAAACACAGTCCTACAGACCAGCAGTCCCAGGCGAAGGAGCAGAGATTAATTTGCCTGCCAGATGCATAGAAATTAGCACAGTAATCATTGGAACATGCTGGAAATGCGGCCAAGGAACAGCACACCAGTGGGATGAGGCAGCCGGTCGCTGCTCTGGTGATGATTTGAGTCCCATTTCCTCCAGAACTGGCATGGGGTGCTTCCCTCTCCCCAGGCACGTGGCCATGGGACGGTCAAGGCTGCCCTGACCCTGGGCTGGGCTCCTCCAGCTCAGCCCTGGCTCACCCACCTCCAGCCCTGGACACGCCAAGGTCCTGGCACGTGCCGAGGTCCGTCCCTGCACATCCCACACTGCTCAGCACCAAGGACCAGGCACCTCGGGGTGCTGGTGCCCGTCCTCACCCCACCAGGACAGTGCTGGTGAGGCTCTTCATTGATGGTTTTAACGAGGGCACAGGGAGCATCTCGCTTCCTGCACATCTACACTCGGATACAGGCAAGGAGGAGAGGGCAGGAGGAGCTGGAGCTCTGCATCCACCATCTGCTCAGGCAGGCACAGGGGAGACGGTCGAGGTTTATAAATACCTTCAAAGGCAGCGACTGAGACGGGGGAGCAAAGTGATTCACAGCCCAGGAGCGGTAAAAATAGGCAGCCAGGATGTGGGGAGGGGGAGCTGGAAAGTAGTTGGGGAGCAGCCAGGGGCTTGGGGAGCTGGCTGGGGGCTTGGGACTCACCAAACACAGAGCTGAGCCTTTTCTGGGATGGGAAGCCGAGGCTGCTGAAGGCTTGAAGTGCCTAAAACCCAGGGTTCCCACTGCCATGAGGTGCCTCCTGGACCCTGGTGCCTCTGCCCAGAGCTCCCAGGTGGGTACAGACCAGAGCCATCCCCAGGGTGGGACTGTGCCGTGGTGATGCTGCTGAGCGTGTCCGAGCTGCACCTTCACCCTCATCCCAGAGGGGGCACAACAGCTCTGCCCGGCCCCTGTTCTGCAGGTGAGACAGGGCGGGTTTACAATCTGAGGAAGATCCACTCTGAGCTCACCTTCCCCTCAGGGCACAGAATCACAGACTGTGCTGACTTGGAAGAGACCCACAAGGACCATCGAGTCCAACCCGTGGCTGGTGCCACAGGGAGGCACTGGCACATCCTGCAGGGTGCAGGGGCTGGGAGCCCCAGGCTCTGCGCGGGCACAGCGTTTGTCCAAATGCCAATCCCAGTTGGCAACAACCAGCTGCCAATACCACCTGCCAGGGACTGTGCCAGGGGCTGCAGAGGAAGGAAAACACTCGGCACTTCCCCATCGGCCCTGGATCTCGGCACAAGCACCTTGCAGGGGAAAAGGACACTTGGTGTGATGGATGAGGACAAGGACACCAGGAGCTTCACGTTAAAACCAGCACCAAAGAGGTGCCCTTCCCCATGGCAACACCAGCACATCCAGCTCAGAGCAGTGTGAGGCTGTGCCCGGGGACACGGCCATGTCCCCAGCTCCAGGGGTGACCGGCCACCACGAGTGGGAGGGAGGACATGGCCCAAGCCCTGAGCATGGACCATCTGAGCCAAAGCCACCTTGAAGCATCTGGTGAGCAGCTGAAAAGGGTGAAGCTCCAAAGCTGCCCTTCATGCACTGACCTGCACTTCAGGAGTTAATTAACACGGAGCCGGCAGCAGCAGGAGTGACACTAATTACGACTGACCTACATTTTAGGGGGGGAAATGCTTAGACCTAATTAAAGTCTGCACATGGATCCAGGTGCTGCTGGACCAGGCTGGGGAAAAAAATGGATTTCCTGGGGTTTGGGTATGGAACAGAGCGGGTTTCCAGGGCAAGGAGCTACAGAAACGCTCCTGCAGGCAGGAGACACAGCCAGAGCCATCCAGAGCATCACTCCTGCCGGCACCCCTGCCTGCATCCCAGAGACATTTGCCAAGAGAAGCTGTGGCTGCCTGACCCCTGAAAGTGTTCAAGCCCAGGCTGGACAGGGCTTGGAGCAGCCTGGTCTAGTGGAAGGTGTCCCTGCCCATGGTAGGGGGTGGATTAAGGTCTCTTCCAACCCAAACCATTCCAGGATTCTGAGACCCCTGGCTGCCCCCAGGCACAAGGTGGCTGCAAAACACGGGTGAAGAAGGCAAGCAGAAGATAGGAGGAGCAGGATGGGAAAAGGCAGGATCTGGGGTGGGAAGAGGCAGGAGCTGCTGCCAGCAGCACAAACTGATGTGGTTCAGATGAATCAGATGCTCAAGTCTCCCCCCATACCATGGCTAAAAGACTTTCCAGCTTCTAATTATTATTATTATTTTTTTAAGGAGCTGCCTCAATTCCCTCCTGACAGCCTTTCCAAGGCACAGCTGGGGGCTGAGCTACTAATAAGCATCCAAAGACAAAAGATGACGTGTGTCAATGCACTGAGACATGAAATGTGCTGCCAGCCCTGCGGGCAATGGGAGTGCTTGTGGTGCTCAGGGCTCATTCCTCATCTCACACAGTTTGTTATAACAGAGGTAACACTCCCAGCAGCCTCCTGCCACGCAAATTCGGGCAGGAAAACCATCCCTGCGACTCAGCTCTGCTGTTGCCCTTCCCAATTTCAGATTTTAATGTGTCCTTTTTCCTGGGGCGATGACAATGTCATTAAAATCTTGTCTAGCAGGGGCTGCAGTGGAATGCCTGGAGTGCCTGGGCTGGAGAGCAGGAGGCTCCAAAGTTAAATAATCCTCAGGATGTCAGATAAACAATGTTGGAACCTTGCAGATGTAGGAAAAATCAAATTACCAAGTGCAGATGGTCCTCAATTAAGAGCAGCATTATCGACACGCCGAGGCCCCGCTGGCTGCAGCCCTGGCACGATCCCACCCCCCGCCCGGGAGCAGCCGTTCGGAAGCAGAAAGGATGGAGGAGAAGGTGATGGAGCAAAACCACATTCCCCAAAACATGCACCCTGCAGCAGATGCTCCCACCCAAATCAAGGTGCTGCTGCCCTGCTCTGCTCTCGGGGCAGCTGCAGGATGGGGAACTGCCATTCCCCTGGTCCACAGCGTCCCCACAGTCCGGGTGAAGCCCACTGGGAACGACCAGCACAGCCCAGCCTATGTCCCTGAGCCCACACCAGGGAAGGCTGCAGCACCACCCGGGGTCAGAATCACAGACAACTCAGCCTCCCCCAGCTTTTCCACACATTAACTCATTAGGCAAAGCCTTAAAAGTTAAATTGGATACATGGATTAATTTGCTTCACAATTAAGTGGACTAATGGGAGCTGCTCACTGACACCACTCGGGCTCCAACCAGGGGAGCCCCTGCTCTGGCTCCCCGGAGCCTCTGATGGGTGTTGGCTCCAGGAGCTGCCCAGGAGCACCCACCATCACCCACCCACCCGAGCACCCCCCTGTGCCGGGGGCTCCACTTTTACCATGGACAAGAATTCCCTCAAATGTCATTACTGGGCCTTGGAGGCAGCTCCTGTGGCCAAGTGGGGGAGAATTCCTGCCAAAATGGGAACAAATGGCTTCAGTGACTATAGATCAAACCAGGCCCCGGGCAGCAGCTGAGTTAATTAGTGGCAGTAATGAGCTGTGGGACTGACAGTGCAGCCACCCAGAAATGTCATTAGGTTGTGGTGTCACTCGGGGCAGGTGGCTGCCAGGTCCCCCTCGCTGCTCAGGGGTGGGTGGTAGGCTGGGTTATCCTTTCTTCTAGGAAGCCAGGAGGAACCCAGCAGCAGCAAACTAACTGGCTGAAGGGATGCTGGAGCACCCCAGCCCTGTGCCAAGGCAGGACCTGGATCCAAATTCCCCTGCGAGCACAAACGCTCCTGTGCCAGGAGGAAATGGGATGAGTTGTGATGGGGCTGTAGCAGACACACAAATAACCACCACCTCCAACAGCGGCTGCAAAAATAGATTAAGGATCGATATGGAAACCTGCCCAAAACAGCAGGACACTGCATTAAATTTGCTCGTTAAAACCCTGAGGTTTTCCCACGCGTGCGTGTGCGGCTGCCAGGGAGTTGGTCCTTGTGGCTCAGCATCTCCCCAGGCACAGCACCAGGCTCAGGGACATCCCGGCCCTTTGCCAAGGCCAGGGATCAAGGAGCATCCCCCCCTTTGCCCCCTCAGTACAAACAGTGCTCCAATGTTGGTTCCCTCCAAATTCAAGCCACGCTCGCTCTGCCAGGCCATGGGGCAGCGGGTCTGGCACTGCCCGGCCATGCAGTGCCTCCATGGAAAACACAGCCAGCCCACCACTCCAGCCTGGGGAGAACCCTTTCAGGAGCACAATCCCTGCCAGAGAGCAAAGGGAACAGCCTGGAGCCTGCGGAAAGCTGCTGGGAATGGG